TTGTGTTCAGTAACCTACTTTCTTCATTTTTGCCTCTCTTTTCCACATTCTGGGATATTCTTTCCCCACAGGTACCCTGGGTCTCCCCAAACTTCAATGAAAGGGTAAGGCATCACATAGTGAACCTATGTCAGTTGCCGGGGACCAATTCCAGCATAATTGTCATAATTTCAAGAGTTTCATCAAAAGGTTGATGAGACTTGGGGACTCACCAGGGTTGAGTCACACATGTAGTCACCTGTTGGGAATGGCTAAAGGCATTTCCCCAAACCTGCCTAGTAAACTGATTGTGGCTGCCCGACAGTTAAAGGGCATCTTAATCTACATGTTATTGCCTCCTACTGGCCAAACACCTGAACAGCTGTAGGCTAATCCCCCCAAACTGACAATGCTTCTGTACCCTTTGAAACCTTACCCTTTGAAGTGTATCATCTCCACCTTGCCTTAGGACAAATTGTGTTAATAAAAGCAAGGGTCCTAGACAAGGAGGGAGTCTTCAGTTCCTTTAGCTGAAGGTCCTCTGACCCCCAATACCTTTCAAAATTATATCTCATCTCCAGACTTTTTATTAATCTCTGGATTCCTATGTCATCTGTGCACAGCCTTTTCCAGATTCCTGAACCCTTCTTGATGCTGGGACATGAACCCCGGCAGTCAGAGGGGGCCCTCCCTGGAATATTTTACTGAGTATCTTCAGTCACGGAGACTCCTACTACTCAGCACCTGCGGCAGGTAGCTGGCCATCAGCACGTGGGTGGCGGTACAGTTTTTCAATGGGCAGAGCGCTCCCCTGGCGCTGTGCTGCCTCAATGGCAGGGTGCTGCCTACACTTCTGATTGGCGAGGCTGAGCCGGCCCTGACGCTCATAGGATTGTCTCACTTTTGTCTAGATTTAGAACCATTTAGAGTGAAGATTAAAGTTAGGGGAAAAGGGACTATCAGTTTAGTACGTTATACTTCTGGTTAGGGATTTTATTTGTTTTTAAAGATGCAGCCATTGATTTCACGTTAAAACCGCCCAGGACATCTCAATATTTAAATTAAACATGCAATAATAAAAAGGTCATCTCATATGCAATTTCATACATTAGTAATTAGCAAAGCATTACTGAACTACAAGGTAAAAAGCTATGGGAACATAACTAATGAACTATCAATGCCAAAGTACACTTTATAATAAAACAAGACGTTAATAAATGTTTTATTAAATGGCTACAAACGAACGGTTTTGTTAACATCTAATAGGGAACTACGTACTAGGCTACTTAATTCACATCCACAAATGAGGACCTTGCAGGCAATTAACTTTACAATTGCTGAAGGTCAGGGCTTCAGATGAGAGTTACTGAGCTACACCTTTAAGTGCTGTGCTGTGGAGGTCAAGTCTAAGCCTTCCCTCAGCCGCCTGGAGTCTGGGCATAGCTGCGATTATGCCCTGAAGCAGCTATTAAATGGCCTGCAGGTGAACTACAGAAAGTATAAGGAATACTCAGCTCAAAGGAAAGGGATTGTGAGGAAAATTCCACACGAGTAGTCACTGTATATCTGGGCACTGATTGTTATTTGTAGGCGATGGATGATGAGACACCAAAGATATGTTTATCAACTGCATATGCTTGTTTGCCTCTTACTGTGATTGCAGGGGATCTGAAACTCACCAAGAATACAGACCAGCACTAGTCTATTTTCTGAGTAGAGATGTGCAATACAGTGGTATCGATGGTCTCCAGCAGCAACAAATGTTAGACTCATCAGAGAAAGGACATATACAGTTTTATAGATGCAAGAAACTGTCCTATTTCTCTTATAGGTGCACACGTATCCTGCTTTTTAAATAAATCGAAATGAAAGCTATGCTAAACCAGATAGGACAAGGAAGGAACTATTTTATGTCTTCTCTCCAATTTACATAAACCGACCGTCTACACAGGACTGCAATTTTCCTGGATTTATTACACGCCAATTTGTGACCAATCGCAATCGCTATACACCGACAGGAAAAAAGGGGAGGAGCCAAAGAGAAAGACACAGAGATTCTTAGCTATATAAAGAATTTCATCCTCTATAGTTTATATTTTTAAAGGGCAGTTTCAGAACAGCGAGAATCAGTAAGATGAGTATATAGAAATAACAGAAATAATTGCCAAAGATGAAACGCTACAGCAGATTAACAACTTGTTAAAGGCAGACGCAGTGGAGATAAAGTTGTCCATGTAGCTGAAACGGAGCCTGAGACTCCTGCTCAATGGGGAACCTTAACTAAAAAAGGAAAAATCAATGAGAAGTGAGGCTGGTTCCTCCTCTCAGGAGTTCCAACCAAGCGAGACGAGGAAAGAAGCCACAGCTCGGCTGTGTCAGTGCGGGAGAGACAGCCACGTCCTGCTCAGGCTGGTGCCACTCGGTGCCTGCAAGCTCAAATGCCACCTCTCTTTTTTTAATCCTCACCCGAGGATAATTTTCCATTAATTTTCAGACAGAGTGGATGGGAAGGATGAGGGGGATGAGAGAGAGAAACGTGGATTGGTTGCCTCCTGCATATGCCCAGACCAGGAATGGGGAGCAAACCTGCGACCAAGGCACATGCCCTTGACCGGGAATCGAACCAGCGACCCTTCAGCCTGTGGGCCGACGCTCTAACCACTGAGAAACTGGCCAGGGCTAAAATGCCACATCTTTTCTTCTTTTTTAATCCTCACCTGAGGACATTTTTTCCATTGATTTTTAGAGAGAGCGGAAGGGAGAGGGAGAGACAGAGAAACACCGATATGAGAGAGGTACGCCCATTGGTTGCCTCCCGCATGCCCCCACCAGGGCCGGGAACCTGCAACCAAGGGATGTGCCCTTGACTGGAATCGAACCCAGGACCCTTCAGTCCACAGGCCAATGCTCTATCCACTAAGCCAAACCAGCTAGGGTGGAAATGCCACACCTTTTGATTAGCAATAGTTATAAGGTGAACATTAAAAATGAGAAAACAAAGCCATACTACAAATGAACATTTTTAGCATGATAGACAATTTTCAGATTCATTATTTTTTATACATATATGAGACAGTATCATCGGGTCGGCTTTCCACCTATGTCAACTCATAAAACCTAAGATGCAATTCCATGGATGGTTCAATAACTGTATTGCTTTGAAATGGAATTTCAAATGGTATTGCTTTGCTATCACCCCCAGAGTGATTTCTGAATACAGAGATATCAGCTGCGATTTCACATACAGCCACAATGGGTTGTACTCTGAAGGGCTACTTTCTTTCCTGACTTTTTACCAACCAAAATTCATCAGTATAACATGAGGAATAACAGGAACACAGTGTATCTTTCTGCAAAATTATTCCAGATCTCTTCACTCTAAGAAGTGGCCTTACGGAACAGCAACCCTCCTATTGACACTAGAATTTTTGAGTCTCCTGTGCTACATAGAACACCCCTGAAATTAAACATGCTTCTGATGACTCAACTGGACATATTTCAAAAATATTTGTCAACACAATTAATATCAACTACAACGCAATTATCCATATTCACTTATATGACTCCACTGGAAAATCCCTTCTTTCCTGATAACATTTTTCCAAGTGAAAACAGTGAGCCAGCACTGCTGGTTCGGTGGGTGCTGGTGAATGACACTGGGTAAAGTTAGCTCTGTGCTCGCAACCTGGGGGAGAAGAGTGTGTGCACACGACTCCATGCTCAGTGAGGAAATCCGCCACCTGCCGACTTCTCCTGTACTTTCTCTAATTCCTCAGGAAGAGGGTCAATAATAGAAAACCGACAATACAACTGCAGCTACTCTTGGCTGCACTACAGATAAAAACACAAGAGTACTTGGCAGTTCCCAGGTCAAGAGTAAAAGAAAAGACAGCAAGATTCTAACTGCGAGGACCTCCTGTCAGCTCATCCTCAGGGCAAAATTCCTTTA